ACAAGGAGTCCTTGCACAGAGTAGAGAGCTGTACTAGGAATCCAGTAGGGGACTTCTCATTGTCCCCTTCCAAGAGTTTGAGATTCTGGGATTTAAATTTTCCAAGAGCCTATGATTTCTGAGTCAATCCCAAGATTTCAGGAGCGCCCAAATCTGTAAAGTAGCTAACATTTCGTGAGCTCTTAATGCGTGGTGACTATCGGCTTTACGTGTGTCCACGCACAGCTGCCCTGTGAGGTAAAGAGCACGCTGCACCCCTACCCCTCAGGGAGGTGGAAGGATGTGCCCAAGGTCACAGGACAGGACCTCCGACCCCTGGCTCCAGAGCTCATGCGCCCAACCATGGAGCCATAGTAATATTAGCTCTGCCCCTTCCCAAGGCTGAACTTCTAAATGTCTAAAGGACGCATTCTGTGCCATCTAGCCTTGCATTTGCTGGGAGGACCCCAGAGGGAAGGGGTGCTGCAGGGGTAGACAGCAAGCAGCTCTGACCTGGGACATGTGAGCACACACAGGCCAACACGCACACACACGCTGACGTTACCCCACAGCTGGCATGTGTAGTCCTGCTCAGCTTACTCTGAGGCCAACTACTGTGGGCACTGGAGCTGAACGGGAACTGGGAACTGGAGAACTCTCCAGTGTGGGCTCCCAGCCATGGGATAGACAGCTGCCCTGCCACCTCACTGTCCCCACCTCCTCCTTGCAGGGGCCACACCAGTCTCAGGAATGGAAGAAGACTCAGCAGGGAGGGGGCAGGGAGGGGGCAAGGAGGGGGCAGGGAGGGGTTTCTCTCTCCTGCAGGCTCCAAACTGGAAGGCATCACCTCTTTCAAAACGAGATGGATTTTAGGAAATAATTTGATAATCAATGGGTAATGGTAGAATATCAGGCCCTGTAACTGGCCAAGGGGAGACAGGACATCTTAAACTTCTATTTCAACCCCTCTCTTTAAATGCATGCTCCACTCATAGCCACGTACACCCAGCCAAGGTACTCTTTGCTGTAACTCCTTCAACATGGTCCTCCAATATTTACAAAATAAAAGCCATGCTCCTATGATGATTTTATGAAATCCTTATATTTTAGAGCTATACATGGAAATATTTCCAGATGCAATGAGATATCTGGGATATGCTTCAAAATAATCTGGTGAGGCAAGGATCAGTGGGGAGAGAGAGAAAGAGTAATTGTTGAAGCTGGTTGAAGGGTTTGTTTGTTTGTTTTTTTTAAAATACTATCCTGCTTACGTTTGTATATTTCTAGAATTTCCCATTAATAAAAAATTACATATAAATTACTTTTTTTTAAAACCACACTTCTTGGCCTGGCACACAAGGCCTTCAATGACCTGGCCCTGCTTGGCTGATAGCTCCTGCACACACCTGCCGTTACCTTTGAACCACTGTGCCTTTGCACATGCTACTTTCTCTTTCTGAATTGCCTTTTCCTTATTTAAGCCTTATTCAGCTTTCAAAACAGGTGGTGACAGCTCCTCCCCTAAGCCTCCCTTGATTCTATAACTGGGCTAACTCACTCCTCTGGGCCCCCATGCCAGCCTGAGTTTGCCTCTATTTTACCCCCTACCTCAAGGTATTTTAACCACCCACTACGGGCCTGCCTCCACGAACTGTGCATCTTTGGGAGCCTCACGCTTCAGAAGTGCTTACTCAGTGTCTATTGAACAAATTGCTTGTTGAGGAATCAGAAGCTGTGTGACTGAAAGGAAGTGGGTTGGCTTTTCTGATTCTATTGTCTCTACACTGAAAACAATAGCAACAACAAAAAGTAAAGGTAGTGGACAGTGACAGATGACTGCAGCTATCTGTGAGTCTAACCTGGTGACAGGTGCATAGAGGGGCTGAGTAAATCAGGTTTTCTTTCCAACATTTAAATCGTATGCTTAGAAATGGCTCCCAGAAATGACACACCCACCCAGGACACCAGCACTAACTCGCTATTGACTTTAGGCAAAAATTCAAAATCCATGTTTCATCTGTAAAATGGGGCCAATAATTCTTGAAGGCAGATTTCAGGGAACTCCTGAGGACCTTGCAGTTGTACAGTTACAGATTCCTGCGGACTCGCTGGCGATAGGTATGGAGTGGTGTGTGCGCACACTTGTGTGTGTGTGTGGGGGGGGGGGTTGTTGGTGGGTGTTGGGAGAATGGTCTGATTGATGTCCCCTATCCTCTGAAGGGCAGCTTAAGCTTGTTGCTAATCCCTAATTGTCTCCAGAGTATATGGGGACAATTGACTGGCCTCTAAGACTGACCACCCGTATAGAAAACAGCGTCATCTCATTACCTGGATTAGGCAGAGGAAAGTGAAAAGATCTGGCTAATGGGCCTGCCTTTCCCACTCACTTGCTGTGTGACTTCAGTCAAATTACCAGCCTTCTCTGGTGAGACTTCAGTGTCTCCATCTGTCTGATTTCATTGTCTCTAGGGCCCCTTCCACTCCCAGCTCTTATCTGTGATTGGGTTGGGCTAATGCTTAGTCCCTGTAAGTGACAGTTCTCATCTATGACTTAGAAATGAAGATTCATTCATTCTCTCAACAGATATGCAATGAGCTCCTTGTATGTGTCAGGCATGCTAGACACAGGTGCGTGCCTGAGCAACACCTAGTAGAAGAGAAAATATCAAACAAAGAATATACAAATAACTAAAATTCCAACTGTGATGTGTCTGAGGAAGAACTTTAGGGTGCTGTGGGTGATCTCCACCCCCGGGGGAGCAGGGGGAGCCCCGTGATGACTTCACTGATGACTGCGAACATAGTGAATAAGGCCCTGAGAACTACATTTAATTCTCACACCAGTTCTCTGAGAAAAGGACTATTATTATCCTCATTTTTCAGGTGAGGAGGCTGAGCATTAGAGAAGCTGTGGCCCAGGTCACACATGAATACTTTCCAGGATTTGGGCCCACACTTTTCTTTGTATGCCTGTCTAGAACCCCATTATGCATGGAAGCATTAGTACCAATAGTCATAGAAATAGTAGTACTGGGGTTCTGGGCTAGCTGAGCTTGTGCTGGGACCCAGGAGGCAGGGGAGCTTCCAGAGGCTCTGCCCATCCGGTCCTGAAGAAATCCAAAAGGCAGGGTCCATCCGGAGTTCAGGAGGGCCCCTGAGTGTACCTACCTTGTTGCCCCAGTACACACTGCTTTTCTCTAAAGCTGCCCCACATTCTCTCCCGCCTGACCCCACGTGGCCAGCAGCAATGCCGGTGCCATGGCCTGTCGTGCGGCAGCCGGAAGGAGACTTTCCAGGCGGAGGTGAGTTCAGAGCAGAGCGTGCAGAGAGTGGAGCATGGTGGCCCAACTCTCGGGGGATGGGTGTAGAGGCAGCTCAGGAACAGAGGCAGCCCGGCAGCCCCTCCCATAGAAAGCACAGGCCCGGCTGACATGTCACCCTGGGAATGTCGGTGTCCTTCTGGGTCTGGTTCCCTGAGTCCCTAAGGAGGCCACTAAGAGTCATGGAATCAGTGGGGAGTCCAAGAAAGACCTTCACTCCCTCTAGTTATTCCCCCATTTTTCAGATGAGGAAACTGAGACCCCAGATGTTCACAGAATAGGGGCCCCTCTCTTCGGGCTAGCCAACATCGTACACTCAGCTCCTTCCTGCCAGAGAGTAACCTGTGCTCCTGGGGGACCCAAGCTGCCGCTACTGACTAGGGACATTAAGCCCCTTGGGTTCCTCGCCCGCAAAATGCAATCATTCCTGCTCTGCCTACCTAACAGGCTTGTCAGGGTGAATCGATTAATTCCGGCTCTTAATAATCCAACCACCTTTATTTTACAAGTAGGGAAAAAGGCCCAAAGAAATAGTCCGAGGCCACAGAGCCTGTGAGTCACAGAGACGCAAATAATGAAATTCTCTTTTCACCTTGCCTGCTTTAAAAACTCAAATTTTTCAAATGACTGTGCATACTCAGCCCAGGCCCCCAGCACAGAAAGCATCCAGCGCATGTCAGCTGTAATAATAGCTGTTAGAACTGTCCTGCGTGGAGGGCACTGCCAACCTGCCCGGGCTCAGCTCCCCATCTGTGCAACCAGCTGAGGCACAGAAACACTGGAGTCCTGAGCCCAGGCACCAACTCCAGCGTGTGGCTGGGGGCAGAGGCAGCCTTCCGAGCCCTCAGCACACCTTTGCACAGCCCACTGTTCCCCACAGTGGGGCAGGTAGCACCCCCTCTTCCCCCCCGTAGAGGGCTGAACTCTGGCCTGGTGGCTCTGCTCAGTGTTCCACTCCAGCTCTCCTGCCTCCAAAGATATGCATCGGATTCCTGCTTCCCCCAAGAACAGAGCTGCTCCCACTCCCCCCACCCAACCCCAGTGTCGCCTCTGGTGCCTTGAAGACTCAAAGCCTTTCACAGCCCTGTAAGCACCCCATTTCGCAGCCAGGAAAGCTGAGGTTCTAATCCGGGTGAGCTAAAGAGTCGCAGGAGAGCCAGGGCTGGCAGGTTATCCAACTGTCCCTCCGGCCCCCCCCCCCTCCGCCTTACCAGGTGGCTTTATCTGTCATAGGGCCCCTGTGTCCCCTGGACACACACAGCAGCCAGCACCTCTCCTTTCTCTGGCCCCAGCATTTCCCCTAAAACCACAGAGAACATGGCCCTCAAATCTCCCTGAAGGCTCATCCCCAGAAAGCCCAAGCAGGGGATTCCATTCTTCCGGGGACAGGAGTCCAACTTTCCATTCATGCAAATATGACCTTGCTCCTCCATGAGATCAAAGTCCTAGCCTTGTCCATTCCTGAGCCCCAATCCCCCGGCCCCAGACTCAGGCTGCTACATCTCTGGCTTCATTCAGTGTACCTGGGCGATCTAAGGCCCAGGTGTCCCTGTCCTACCCCTCCATGCCGGCCTCGGTCACGTCCTGGCTCTGTCCCCACTTGCCAAGAGTCCCCAACACCCGCCTTCTCTGGGACAAGGCACAAGAACGGATTTGCTTTGCACCCCCTCCCCCAACTTGCCATCCGCCAGCAGCTCTTACCTGTGCCCTTCAGGTAGGGGAGGGTGCCCGGCTGGGCTGCTGGGCTGGAGCCCCTTTCGCTAGCAATTCGCTAGCAACAGGGGCTGACAGGCTCCGGAGAGAGGTGCGGAGAGGGAGCAGGAAGGCGCGCACTGCACTCTGAAGAGGCTGCTGAGAAAGTTGGAGTAGGTGTGTCCCAGCCCAGGAGGAGGAGGGAAAAGGAGGTGGGAGAATTGAGGCGGATCATCCCCTCCTGCCAGCTCTCTGTCTCACCGAGAGGGAGGGAGGGAGCCAACTGGGTTGTGGCCCAGAACTCACGGTGGGGAATCGAGTCATGGAAAATGACGGCTGGAAAGTTGCTGAGAAATCAGGCCCATCTCCACCTCCCTTCTCAGTTTTACAGGGACCAAGGGAGACCCTAGACAGGTAGTGCTTGCCCCAGGACACACAGAGACCATGGCGGGACTGGGAGAGGACCCAGGCTGCTAACTCTCGGGCCTCTGCCCTCCCCCACGCTACAGATCTGAGAGACAACCAGTCATCCCTCCGCCCAGCACCTGGCTCCAAACCCTGGCACTGCCATGTCCTGTCTCCGTAACCTTGGGTGAGTGACTTCACCAGAGCCTCAGTTTCCTTTTTTGGAAAAGATGGAGGCAGTAACTCCTACCTCACGAGGTTGTTGTGGGGGTTGGACGAGATAAAGTTGGTGGAAAGCATGTAGCAGAGAAAGTCCCTCATAAAAGGTAATTCTTCTTATCCTGTTATTGGCTGTGACTCCCTCCATAAACGACAGCCTCTCTGAGCGCTGGCTTCCCGTCTGTCTCTGAAATGGGGGAACAAGAATCTCTACTTCCTACGGTTGTGCAGATTCATGAGACAGATGATGCGCCGTAAAGGGCAAAGCACAAAGCCTGGCATCTCGCTGGGAAGCAAGACATCTTAGTTTTGACATATTTTACAGGCTGCCTCTCTGCTCTGGCTCCCCAAATATTCCAATGTGCTCCCCATGTTGAGAACCAATGTTTTAAGGGAAGGGAAGAAGAATTAGACAGAAAATAGTGCGCTCTCTCTCTCTCTCTCTCTCTCTCTGCCACTCTTTTTTGTTATAGATGTATTCATTTGCTTGTTTCTTGTGCACACACAGGTAAGGCCCTACACCTCCCCTTTTCCAGGCACTGGGCCAGAAACTGGGGACTTAGAGGGAAATGAAATAGTTCCTGCCCCACAGAGCTGAAATCGGCTCTGCAACCATCCTGTCTAATTCCCTCTCTTACCCCAGGACTTGCAGCCCCGCTGCAGCTTTCCTGGCAAATAAGTGAGTCTTTGCTTGCACACCTCTAGTTACAGGGAGCTCATTACCTCTCCCAGAGGTCAGTTCTGATTGTTAGTAATTCTACTTGATGTTCGTGAGCAGCCATCCTTGAACCCGGTTAATACTCAAGAATTCTACATGTTATTACTGTTAGTATAAACTATATATTCCAAGGCAAATGACTTAGATTTGCAAAGTCTCTGTTTCCTTATTTGTTAAATGGACTCACAACTGCCGGGGCCACTCAGAACAGATCTACTTCCTCTACCATGTGGCAGAAACTGAAGCTGGATCTGTGGTCTCAGACTGGTTTCCTAGAAGTTCAAGCCGGACCCTATGGATAAGTGGAGCCGTTAAGGCTCATGAGGCTCTTGGCTGCGTCCCAGCTCTTGGAATATGTTCATTCATGAGCTGCTGCGGCTCTGTGGGCTGTGCCCTGGCGACCTGTCACTAGCAGCGGGGATGGCCACAGGTGTCAAGCAGGCTGCTGCGGTGTGCTGCCCGAGATGCCCAGAGGAGCTCCCTTCGAGGAAGACTCTCCAAGGTCCCCTCCCCCAAGCTGCCCCAGCCCTGCATGAGAATCCTAGGGGTTTGCAGTGTGAGGGGAGCTACTGCGATCCACTTTCCACTCCAGTGGGAAGGCCACCCTGGGTAATTATCCACTTGGCTGATTGCCGCCCAAGTCCCCGAGTCTGGGCCAGTTAGGCATTAACCCGAGGGAGGGTGGCTGAGCGGCCCCACGAGCCCTCTGACTAGTCATGTGTGGAGTGGCAGGCGACTGTCTTCCTTCGGGGCCCCCATCTGGGCCAAGGGTGGCCTCCAGCCTGCCCAGGGCAGGGACTGTCCCCCTGGGGGGCAGGGGAAAGGGGGAGGTGAGTGTTGGGATGGGTTGCAGAATCCCATAATGCTACCGGCATTCATCCTCTCCTCTCCTCTCCTGACCCAGGCCCTAATCCCTCTCCTCCCTGCTGGCTCCAGGACCCAGCTGGGGGATCTGCTGGCCTCTAGTCCTTCATGCAACAGGAGATGGACTCCTCAGTGTCCCCCCCATCATGCTTGGAAGCCTCTCGTTCCCAGGCCCCTGCTCACAGCCTCCTGGGTATCTGAAATTGTACCTATCCGTCTCGGTACAATCATACGCCACCTCCCTTCTGTGAGCTCCCCCTGACCATGCCCCAGATCTGACTGATTAGTAATAATCCTATATAATAAACACGTAATATGCAAATCGACCAAACAGCGGAATGACCGGTCTCTATGATGCGCACTGACCACTAGGGGGCAGATGCTCAATGCAGGAGATGCCCCCTTGGTGGTCAGTGTGCTTCCACAGGGGAGTGCCGCTCAGCCAGAAGCCAGGCTCACGGCTGGTGAGTGCAGCGGCAGTGGCAGAAGCCTCTCCCACCTCTGCTGCAGGCAGGCGGTAAGGAGTGAGGGGTCCCAGACTGTGAGAGCCCCAGACTGCAAAAGGGATGTCTTACTGCCAGCTTAGGCCTGATCTCGGGGTTGGGGGGGAGGAGGGAATCGAGCCTAAACTGGCAGGGGGGCATCCCCC